GCCTCCAGCCGCCCCCTCTCTCTGGCCCCGGCTTTTGGCCCATCTCCGCACGTTTCGGCACAGAGGGGTGGGGGAGGTCACACAAACTCCCACGCGTCCCGCTTGGAGGTCACGCAAAGCCTGTGGCCGAAAGCTGTCACCGGTGTCCTGCTGCCAGGCCGACCTGTGTCTCCTGGGGATGCTCTGGCATCTCTTCTGCCGCCTCCAGCCGCCCCCTCTCTCTGGCCCCGGCTTTTGGCCCATCTCCGCACGTTTCGGCACAGAGGGGTGGGGGAGGTCACACAAACTCCCACGCGTCCCGCTTGGAGGTCACGCAAAGCCTGTGGCCGAAAGCTGTCACCGGTGTCCTGCTGCCAGGCCGACCTGTGTCTCCTGGGGATGCTCTGGCATCTCTTCTGCCGCAATCTGGAGGGTCGGATTGTCTGGTGTGTGGGGCTGGGTCAGTGCCTTTGTTGGTGATGGGGAAGGAGCAGAGCAGCCTGTGACATCTGCAGGAGCCAGCGCGGGGGCTCTGGGGAGGATGGGGATGGAGAAGCCGGTGGCTGGAGCATGAGCAGGTGCCGGGAGCAGGGGGTGCAGGGCAGGACACCCACGGCAGGGCTGGCCCCGCTGTCATCCCCCAGGCTGCAGTGGCCTCGTGAAGCCATCCCAGGCCAGTGGCCCCGAGGGCGTCCCCCACTACGCCGAGGCTGACATCGTGAACCTGCAGGGCGTGACGGGCGGCAACACCTACTCCGTGCCAGCCCTCACCATGGACCTGCTCTCTGGCAAGGACGTGGCCGTTGAGGAGTTCCCCAGGAAGCTGCTGACCTTCAAGGAGAAGCTGGGAGAAGGACAGTTTGGGGAGGTGAGTGGGAGCAGGACCGGCTCTGAGCAGGGCTCGGGCAAGCTCTTCCCAGTCCACGGGGGCTGTCAGTCGGTGGAAGTGATGACCGCCCCTTGCTCCCCTCCAGGTTCATCTCTGTGAAGTGGAGGGGATGGAGAAGTTCACAGGCAAGGACTTAGCACTGGAGGGCCTGGACACCAGCTCCAACCACCCTGTGCTGGTGGCCGTGAAGATGCTGCGAGCAGATGCCAACAAGAACGCCAGGTACGGGGCTGGGGAGTGCAAACACCCCGGCATTGCCCACCATGCAGAGCTCCCCAGGAGAGGCAGCATGCTGGGAAAGCATCCCGTGCCTCCAGCAGCCAGCCGCTCCGTGTAGCTGCAAGGGCCACGTGTCTGAGCTGTCTGGGCATGCTGGGCTGCCACCATTCAGGACTCTTGATCCTTGCTGGTCCTAACCGGCTCCTCATTACCCCCCATCTACCCATCAAGCCCACCCTGCAGCTGTACGTGGATCAGCCCTGGGCTCCCCCTCATGGTCCCCAGTCCCAGGGAAGGGTCCTGTGGGTCCCTCATGAGGCACGGGTGGGTGGGCAGCACACTTGGCCGGTCCGCGCACACCTCTGTGCCTCTCTGGGTGTGTCTATCCGATCCGTGTGGTTTCTGTTCCGGAAAGGAATGATTTTCTGAAGGAAATCAAGATCATGTCACGGCTGAAGGACCCCAACATCATCCGTCTGCTGGCAGTGTGTATCATGGATGACCCGCTGTGCATGATCACCGAGTACATGGAGAACGGAGACCTCAACCAGTTCCTGTCCCGCCAGCAGGCAGGCAGCCCCCCCACCGGCCACGCTCCCACCATCAGGTAGCACTGCCCGTGATGGGCAGGGGTGGGAAGGGGTACCTGCTTTAGGCATCCTGCTCGGCTGAGGGGTCCTTCCTGGAGCCTCAGTCCTCCCTTGTCCCTTCTGCCCGGCAGCTACAGCGACCTGCGGTTCATGGCCACCCAGATCGCCTCCGGCATGAAGTACCTCTCCTCCTTGAATTTCGTGCACCGAGACCTGGCCACACGCAACTGCCTGGTGGGGAAGCAGTACACCATCAAGATCGCCGACTTCGGCATGAGCAGGAACCTCTACAGCGGGGACTACTACCGCATCCAGGGGCGGGCGGTGCTCCCCATCCGCTGGATGTCTTGGGAGAGCATCCTGCTGGTACGCGGGGGCTGGGGTCCTCTGACAGGCACTGACACAGCCTCTCACAGCCTCTTTTCCTCTGGCTGGGGGGTGCAGAATTGAACAGGGAAGTCTGTGCTCCCTGGAGCCCAGCTTTGGGGAGGAAGCGTGCAGAAAGCAGGAGTGACAGCAGTTTTCCAGACAGGATGGAGGGACTACGGTGATCTCTGGTGTCCCAGTGCCCCAGCCTTTGAGCAGGATGCTTGATGTTTTCTCCTGGATGCTTGACATTTTCTCCTGGCCACGGTCAGACCTGGAAGAGGGAATAAGGTTACTTTTTGTCCTTTCAGGGAGCTGGGTCCTTACCAAGCCCCAGCTCTCAGAGCAGTTGCTGCGAGCTGGACCCGGAGCTCGCCAGGCTCTGGCCTCAGGCAGAGAGCAGGTCTGCAGGACCAAGCATCCCTCTGGGCCCAGATCTGGAAGCTGAAGCGTCCAGAAAGAGGTTTTGAGCCCTGGGCGTGTAGGGCTTTTGGAGCAGGATGGGGTGTTGCCATGTCTGACCCTGCTCTGCTCCCTCCGGCCGGGGCAAGTTTACAACGGCCAGTGATGTGTGGGCATTTGGCGTGACGCTGTGGGAGACCTTCACACTCTGCCGTGAGCAGCCCTACTCTCAGCTGTCTGATGAACAGGTCATCGAAAACACTGGCGAGTTTTTCCGGGACCAAGGTCGGCAGGTAGGGATGGGATGGGATGGGATGGGATGGGAT